TCTTTTTGCTTATGTGGTGCTGAGGAGTCGAACCCAGGGCCTCAGGCATGCAAGGCAAGTGCTCTACCACTGAGCCACCTTCCCAGCCCCAAACTTTTCAAGCCTCTCTGAGAAATCTCTAGACCTGAATTGGACATCAGTCTGGATGTTCCTTTTTTTTTTGGTCATGGGGCTTGAGCTATAGGCCTGGGCACTGTCCTGCAGCTCTTCAGCTTAAGCCTAGTGCTCTACCACTTGAGCCACAACACCACTTCCGGCTTTTTTCTCCTTATGTGATACTAAGGAATTGAACCCAGGGCCTCATGCATGCAAGGCAAGCACTCTACCACTGAGCCACCATCCCAGCCCTCAGTCTGGATATTCTTGGCAAGCTTCCAACTATAAAAAAATATATGCCACCTCCTCCACATGAATTTACTATACTTGTAACCAAGACAGGCCCTCTGACATCTATAGAAATCTCAAGCATCCATCAAATACAAGGTGAAAGCCTCTCCTTATATCAAACTTTATGAAAGCTTTTATTTATTAGCTTACATTAATTATAGAGGATTTCAACGTTGAATTTCCACAGGTATTTACAATGTGTTCCATCAATTTCACCCCTCTAGAGGGATTTTTCTTCTAGATCCTCTCACTTAGCTTTATGCTCCCCCACCAGGGAAGTAAAAGGAAAGCCTTTTGTTTTGAATTGTAAATTCTAAAATATTAGTGGTAATAGCATGTTTTCCTCCTCATTTTCTTACATATACTGGAAAGTGAATGCTGGGGAGATTGGGCTAATGTGGTAATTCTATCAAATTCCTGCAAGAATATATCAGGCCAAAACTTTAAAAAAAACAATTTCAATGGGTTTTCTACATTATTCTCATACATACATATTAAGAACTTTGATAATATTTATTTTCCCATCACTGTCTCCTTTTGTACTCTTCCCTCCCCAAATAGTCACACTTTTACAGTCATGTCATTTTGTTAGGTCTAGATTCCCCACATTAGAGAAATGTGTGACTTACTTAATCTAACATGATAGTCTCCAGTTGTATCCATTTTCCGTGAAACACCATAACTTTATTCTTCTTTATGGCTGAATAATGCTCTACTGTGAATATATACTACCTTTTTAAAAATTCATTTATCATTTATTTGCCACTTAGGCTGATTGTATAGCTTGACTATTGTGAATAATATTGCATTAAACATGGATATGCAGGTATCTCTATCACATTGCAGCTAACATTCCTTCAGATATATGCTACATATATACAATTTGATTCCTTTTTTTCCTATTTGTTTCCCTTTCCTTCTCTTGCCTCAATATTCCGGCTAAGAACTCAAGCATTATATTGAGTAAGAGTGGTAAAAATAGACACGCTTGCTGGGCACCAGTGTCTCACACCTGTAATCCTAGCTACTCAGGAAGCTGAGATCTGAGGATCACAGTTCAAAGCCAGCCCGGGCAAGAAAGTCCATGAGACTCTTATCTCCAATAAATCACTAGAAAACTGGAAGTGGCGCTGTGGCTCAAGCGGTAGAGCACTCGCCTTGAGCTGAAGAGCTCAGGGACAGTGCCCAAACCCAGAGTTCAAGCCCCAAGACAGACCAAAAAAAAAAAAAAAAAAGACACCCTTGTCTTGCTCCTATCTTTAGAGAAATAGTTTGTTTTTCCCCATTTAGTACAATGTTGCCTACTGGTTCATCATAAATAGCTTTATTATATTTTATTCCCAGTTTCTCCAAGGCTTTTATCATGAAGGGATACTGAGTTTGGTTAAAGTCATTTCACATCTATTAAGATAATGATGTGATTTTTGCCTTTTAATACTATATAGATGCTATTGTTTTATGTATCTTGAACCAAAATATCATCCTTGGATTAGATAATTGACTAGATAATAGTATCATGTTCTTTTTAAATGTGTTAACTTCAATTTGCAAGTATTTATAGAGGATTTTTGTGTCTATAGTCATCAAAGAATTTTTATTTTTCTATTGCATTTTTGGTACTTGATGCTTTTGCTTATTGGCTGGCACTCTACCAACTGAGCCATTCCTCCAACTCCTTCTACTGCATTCTTACCCAGTTTCGGCTTCAGGTTAATACTGGCTTCAGGTAATGAGAGTGGTAGCATTCTGTCCCTTTCTATGCTATGGAATAGTCTGAGGAGCACTAGTGTGGCTTTTCTTTAAATGTCTGATAGAATTCAATATAAATTCATCTGGTTGTGGGCTTTTGTTGGGAAATTCTAGTACCGAGTCAATCTCATTGCTTATAGATAAGTTTAAGTGGTGTAAAAGTTATTGGCTCAGCTTTGGTGGCTCATATGTATCTCAAAATATATCCTTTAACTGGCACTTCTTCTATGCCAATGTCTTTGCCTTTTAGTAGTGTTTCAGAAGTTTACCGTGTTCCATTTATATTTTTCTCTTTATCTTTATTTAATGTCCTAATTCATCTAATTTGACTTCAACCTAATCTAACCTATTGGTAAAGCTATCAACTGAATTTATTTATTTAGAACTTTTCATTTCCAGAATTCCAACATTATTTCAGGATTTCTATAACATTATTCATTTCCACTTTCACATCCCACATTCAAGATTACATTCCTTATTCCATTCATCTGTTCATTTGTATTCTCTTCACATTTATTTGGGTATTTGTACCTGCTCCCTTAAATTCTGTTAATAATTCTAGTAATCATTCTTTTGAGTTCAGGACTTCATCCACTTCACATCCATTACTGTGGAGTTATGTTTTAAAAGGGTTGTGTTGCCTTCGTTTTTTTTTTCATATTTCCTGCATTTCAACAGAAGTATTGTTAATATTCAGCCAGGGCTGTGTAGTGGCAGGAATGAGGTGTAGTCTTTCACACTGGACTGGGGATATACTCAGTAGGCAAGCATTTGTCCACATGCTCAAGGCACTCTGGCAAAACCATTATCACTAAGACCAAGGAAAACTACACAAGTTTCTTATACTTCCTCACTAAGACCAAGGAAAACTACACAAGTTTCTTATACTTCCTAGGGTACAGGTTGGTGCTGTATGTGGGTGAAGGGCAAAGACAGTCAAGAATCAGTTGTCCACTTCTAGGCTGCTTTCATTTCAGAAACTTCCCTTATTTGTTCATTGGGATCTGCTGTTAGTCACAAGAAGTACTGCAGTCTATGTGTCACTTTTGTTCCATTAGCCCCCAGTTTGTGCTTCCAGTGGCAATAAGTGTCCAAGCCTAGAGGTGTTGTCCAAATGTACTACATAGTGGGGGGGGAGGGGGAGGGGGAGGTGGGGGGGAGGGGGAGGCCGGGCAGGGGAAGGCAGACCTGAAGGACTGAGACATTCTGCCTTCTGGTTTCAAATGTTTTCAGACTGTCTAGTAGTTGAACATCCTATACGAGGGATGAGGTTAATGATTTGATATGACATGACACACAGGCTCTAAGGGTCAGAACTGATCTCAACCTGATAGGCAGTATACCACTCTATGGGAGAAAAGAGGCTGACTTCCCCAAACATTTTGAGATCTAGTTTATTACTTTCTTAAAATGTGGTTGATACTTTCAACTTTCATTTTTAATTTTAGACCTTGATACAATTCTAAGACAAAGTCTGACTCATCCCACTATAAAATGAATTCAGATACTGAATAAAATCTGTAGTTTGGCACTGGTGACTCATATTGGCTACTCAGGAGGCTAAGATCAGGAGGACTATGATTCAAGACATCCCAGGCAGAAAAGTCAACTAGACTGCATTTCCAAAATAATCAGCAAAAAGCTGGGCTGGAGGGATGGCTCAAATGTTAAATAACATCCAAGCAAACAAGCTGAGTTTAAACCAAAGACTGAGTTTAAATCCTAGTGCTAGCAAAAACAAATAAATGACATTTAACTAGTTACTTAAATGTTACAAAAATGTATTTGTTACTTTAAATACTGATACCACAACTTGTTGAAGGAATCTAGTATCTTACTCCTAAAACTTAAAATGATCTTGATAAAAACAACTAGGTGTGAACAATGAGGAAGCTTATTAGATAGAAATACATGATCACATATGCTAATATATGTATATAAATTACCTGGTTGTTTTCTCTTAGTATCTTCAATTCTGCATTTATTTCAGCATTAGCTTTAACTTGTTGCTGAAGTAACTGCTGCATATGTTGAAAAGAAATGATGATATCCTTCAAAAATATAAATGATATATTTATCATATATAAATGATAAAAATAGTATATATTTTAAAATTAATTCTTGATATAAATTTTCTACTTAATCCATTATCTTTAAGGCTTAATTTCAATGTTTTATGTTTAACTAATAGCATATTTTATCATTTACTTTTTTAAAATATTTGTATTATCTTTAAGTAATTGTACAAAGAAGTTGCCATTCACCAAAGCAGTTTATGAATACAGTATATCTTGATCACTGTCACCCTTTTTAACATTCTCAGCCACCCTCCCAATAATTTACTATTTAAAATAATTTATATTTTGCAGTTTCCAAAAAAGTACTGTATGAAAAGTACCTTAAGCTGGGCGCCAATGGCTCATGCCTGTAATCTTAGCTATTCAGGAGGCTGAGATCTGAGGATCATGATTCAAAGCCAGCCTGGGAAGAAAAGCCCCCGAGACTCTTATCTCTAATTTACCACTCAAAAACCAGAAGTAGAGTTGTGGCTCAAAGTGGCAGAACACTAGCCTTGAGCAGAAAGAGCTCAGGGACAATGCCCAGATCCAAAGAACAAGCCCCACAACCAACAAAAATAAATAAATAAACATGCCTTAAATAATTAAGTTTTTTAATTACCATAGATTTTTTAAGATGTTATAGAAAATGTGGAAAAAAATCAAAACTAACATAAATTTTTGTTGGCTTTTCTTATCCCCAAATAGTGAAAATACTTCTCTCCTAAAATTTCATATGGGCTATAAAATTATAAAATGCCATACTGTACTAGAACATCATAAATCAAATGGAATAAAAACAGAGTAGAAAAGAGACCAACCCTTTTTGTAAATATAATTATTACAAAAAACAGATTCCAATGTGAGAAAAATGTCCTATAAAAGCATGTCCACATGGGCTGGGAAGGTGGCTCAGTGGTAGAGCGCTTGCCTTGCATGCCTGAGGCCCTGGGTTCGATTCCTCAGCACCATATAAGCAAAAAGAAAAAAAAAAGCCGGAAGTGGCGCTGTGGCTCAAGTGGTAGAGCGCTAGCCTTGAGCTGAAGAGCTGAGGGACAGCACTCAAGCCCAGAGTTCAGGCCCCACAACCGGACCAAAAAAAAAAAAAAAAGCATGTCCACATATAAGTACATGTCAATAACTATCTGCCAGCATGCCACTAGCTAAACAAAGAAAAAACAAATCTTTTAAAATGAGATTATAGCCAGACACTGGAAACCCACACCTGTAATTCTAGTTATTCAGGAGGCTGAGATCTAAGGCTCATAATTCAAAGTCAGCTAGGGAAGGAAAGTTCATAAGCTGTGAGACTCTAATCCTCAATTAACTGCCAAAAAGCCAGGAGTAAAGATGAGGCTCAACCGGTAGAACATACACCTTGAGCAAAAAAGCTCAAGGGCAGTGCCCAGACCCTGAATTTAACTCCCCCAGGACAAGGAAGGAAGGAAGGAAGAACGGAAGGAAGGAAGGAAGGAAAGCTAATAAATATCCATGTGTTCATTCAACATATATTAACCAAGTACTTACAAATGTAATTATGCCAAACCTTCATAGGCCATGATTCCATCTGTTACTTAGTTTCTTATTTCTTTTTTGCCACACAATAGCTAATTTTCTTTTGGCACTAGTCAGGTTTGAATTTAGAGCCACAAGCTGACACAATATCAATGAGTCACACATCTAGTCCTATTCTTTTCTCTGGTTCTTTCTAGAATAATCTTGCTTCCCACTTGGGGAGTAAGCCTGAGCTGAGCCATTATCTGGGACTTCTCATCATTGCTGGGATCACAGACACACTGTGGCTAGGCTCTCAATCTCAGCTGTGGGTTGAAAAGGGGTCTTCCTAACCAACTTTTCTGCCTAGGCTGACCTCTAATCACATTCTTTTATTCTTAGCCTCCAAAGTAGCTAGGATTACTGGCATCAGTCAACTGTACCCAGCTATTATAGGTTGTTTTTTTTTTAATACATGCTGGACCTTAAGGTATCTAATAACTGCTTACCTGTTTTTCTTCTTGAATACAGCTAATCTCCTCATTAATCTTCTTGTTTAATTCCAACTCCTTCAAAATTGAATAATTTTAAAATTATGATGTAAACTTCAGCATATTCTGTATTCAATTTAGTACCCACATTCATTTGTGGTCAAAAAATAAGTTCTAATGAATTAGAAAAGGTCTTAGAACCCAATAAGGGCAACATGTAAATATTAAAATTACAATTTTCTTATCTCCAAAGCTGTTTCAAGATACCACTGGACCAAAACTGAGTGCCAGTGGCTCATAATTCCAGCTATTCAGGGGGCTGAGAACTGAGGATCAAGATTTGAAGCCAGCCCAGGCAGAAAACTCTGTGAGACTCTTATGTCCAATAAGCTACTCAAAAAAGCTGGAAATGGCACTGTGGTACAAGTGGTAGAATGCTTGCCTTGAGCAAAAGAAGCTCAGGGACAGTGACTAGGCTAAGCATTCAAGCCCCAGATCTCGGGGAATAAAACACATAACCACTGGACCAAGATCTGAAATGGTATCTGAAAAACATATTTAAGGAGAAATAAAATGGGCATAGCCAAATTTTGTTGTTCTAAAGTTCTAGTATGACAAAAACTACATAATAATTATAAAGCAGACTCATAATTTTATTACATATATTAATTTTATAAATTAATATTTTATATAATCCTGAACTCATGTTTTATTGTAAGTTATTAATTTTACATTAACTTAATTTTACATAATTTTATATTAATCCAATACCACATTGAGTCTTTCCTGAAGTTCTTCACATTTTTGTTCTTTAATTGTTAGACTGATGTTTTCTTCTCCCATCTTACACTGACAGGTAACCTTGGACTTTATCAAGTCTGAAGCTACTTTTTTTAGTTCCTTAATAAAAGAAACATCAGAAAATTCAGTACATAAATTTCATCAAAGCAAGATACAATCTAAACATCCACCTTTAAATCTCCAATTATATCCTAATATCTAATTATACCTTAAGGTTTACATTCCTTAGATCCTTTGTAACATTAGCCTTAATCTTACAAAGCTCACCATGACAGCATGCCCCATATGGTGGGAATGCCGTATGTGGTTATAGAATAGGCAAGGCCAATACATGGAGATAGAAAAATGTGTACTAAGTGTCATAACAAAATGTATATCCAGTTACAGGCATCACGTAGGCAGTATACAGAGAGGCTGGAGTGGTGGTGCACACTTGTAATCCCAACTACTTGAAAGGTGGAGACAAGAAGATAGTGATTAAAAGCAGCCTAGGAAAAGTTAACAAGAATCTATCTCAAAAAAAAGCTGGGTGTAATAGCACAAGTCTGTGGTCCCAGCTGTGTGAGAGGCCATATGTAAGAGGATCTTGGCCTAGGATGCCTCTAGGAGAAAATATAAGACTCTACCTGAAAAACAACTATAACAACAAACAATAAAAGAGACTGGGGTATGACTCAAGTGGTAGAGAACATACTTGCCAAATACAAGATCAGGTATTATTCCCTCGAAGAAACAATTTTCATATGTAGTTTACAAAATAGTATTTAAAGCTATGGGAACATATTAATGGAGGACAAAAGATGAAAAATGACTGAGTCCTAAGTACCTCCAACATATGTAGTTTAGCAAAAAAGCCAATATAGAAGGCTGAAAAGTAGCTAATTCAAGTAGAAGGTGATACAAGAATGTGGTATCAAGGAAAACTAACACAGGAGCAGCAGAAAACAGATGCTCTCTATGGCCTACATGTTAGTTTTACTCAATTATACCTTAACCTTCAATTCAAAATCCAAGAGAAAAAAAATCATTAGTCTTAGTACACACACCACTTTTGAATATGAACATTGCACAAAATGACTGCTAGAATAACTCTATGGATCAAGAGCTAGGACTCTATTCTCAGAAAAGCAAATTAATGTCTGGTATAAAGAGAATAACCAAGTTGTATTAAAGTAATGAAAGTCTAAAAGGACTTGAAAAAGTAGTAAGCTGGATATACTCCATTTGTCCCTCCTAATTTAGTTTCTCTTCTATCTCTACAATGCTCTGTGCCCAGAGATAGTCCAATTAACATAGAGGCAGGGCTTCCATGACCCATTGAAAGCTCACCATGACAGTATGTCCCCTGAAGGTCAAACGGAGTTACAAGAGTAAAAAAACACATATTTTTCATGCTGGGCTTTGGGTTTGGTCTCATCATTTATTTCTATGCCATTTAGAATGGAAATGTTATCTCATGTTGAAAACACATAATATTTTTAAACAGGGGCTCAATGTAGAAACTTGAAGTGGCCTTTTAAAAAGTACTACATTAATATTTCACTTTTTAAGCTAATTTCTTAGAGTAGTTTTGGTGTCATAGCAAAACTACAAACCAGTTCCCATTAACTGGACTTTTGAGAAATGCTGGAACTGTTGAGATTTTTGGAACTCTAATTTTGCATTAGATGGACATGAGCCTTTGGGGGCCAGAGGTAAAATGTTATGATTTTACAATGAATTGAATCCCAGAAGGCAGGCTTGTAGAATCTCAGCTACCGGGGATGCAAAGACTGAGGATCATGATTCAAGGCTAGCCTGGGCAAAAAGTTAATGAGACCCCCATTTCAACAAGCTTGTTTGGACATGCTGGAATATACTCATCATCCCAGCTATGTGGGAAGGAAAAGTAGAGAGCTCCTGGATAAGGCTAGTTTGTGTAAAACATAAGAATTTACCTGAAAAATAACTAGAGCAAAAGGGGATGGAGGTGTGGCTCATGTGGTACAGCACCTGTCTAGTAAGTGTAAGGTCCTGAATTCAAATCTCAATACTGACAAAATTAAAGAGATGTCTCATACATGAACATATATTCCCCAATATATTGCCAGCAGATAGGCTTTTGGGAAGTGACTAGCTCATGAGGACTCTGCCTTTGTGAATGGATTAATCCAATGATGTATTCAACATCTGACCAGACTATTGGGATATATATAGTGGTACTGTGAAAGATAGGTCCTGAAGAGGGACTCTTTGGGGACTATATCTTGCCTTTTTTTTTGTAAAGGTGATGTACACAGGGTTACAGTTAGGTAAGTCAGGTCATAAGTACATTTCTTTCTGAACAGTGTCACCCCCTCCCTCATTTTCTCCCAGTTTTTCCCTCCTGACCCTCCTTTTTCCTCAAGTTGTATACTGTTAGTTCATTTCCAACAAGTGCCTAGTGAGTATCATTGCTGAATTGGTTCACCCTTGTGTCACCATTTCTGTGCTTCCCCTACCACTCCCCAAATCAGATGAATGTATATACAAGAAAAGAAATCAAAAAATGATTTTAAAAAAGGGAATAAAAACAAAGGGGGATGATAAAATAAAAAAGAACCACAAACAGTACAATAAAAAAAACCTCGTTTTCCATATCTTGGGAGTACATTTCAATAAGCATCATTGTATATGGCCAGATGCACATAGCTATTGAGCCCTTGTGATCCTCTCCTAAAAATATCCTCCTTTGGTTTCCCTGTGTGAATGTTTAGAGTCCTGTTTAATCATGACCAAGTATAATTTTTTTGTCTTTTACTATCCACTGGGTTTACTGGCAGATTTATGGGCATACTCTAATATATTACAAATGAGGAAAATCATGCAGCCTATGCTTACTTTGCTTAACAGAAATACTTGGAAAAATTATATCTTACCTTTATAGTTGGAAGGACTGCTCTTTCTTGCTCTCTTCCCCCCACCCTTGAAGGGACTGCTTCTTCTCCTCCCCCCTTCCTTCCTTTCCTGTTTTTCTCTCCCTCCCTCTATTTCTTTCTCTTTCTCTCTCTCCTCCCTGACTGCTATAAGTTAACACTTCTGCCACATGCTCCTGCCACCATTATATTGTGCCACACAATAGGCCCAGAATCAATGAGCTAAGGGCTATGTGGCCCTAAGCAAATAATTCCACCCTTTCATGCAGTTGATTTCAGTATTTTGTCACAGCAATGAAAAGTCTAACTGATCTGATACAGTTCTACCATAAGACAAATGATTTTTAGTGGACAATTCAAGAGAGGAAAAAAAAACTTGTGTGAGTGGTTTAATGCTTTTATTATCAATAAAATGGTTAAGATCAGAATCTGGGGCCAAATGTGTCTTTCAATCTTGGTTCTATTTTCTTTGTTTTGTAGCTTTAGTCAAGTTATTTAATTTCATTCTGCATCTAAGTTCCTCATCTGTAAAATGGAGGTAATAAACTTTTAAAGGTTTCTGGTATGTACTAATCCATGCAGCAAGTATTTGCTAGACATCTAATATATGCTAGATAATGTCACCTGTACCACTATGCTTCGGCAAGGAATTTTATAATTTTTACAGCTACAGTATAATATAGAATTATGCTCCTACTTATAGAATACAGCACTCTGAAGTCTTAATTATCATCATAAATATTAAGTGTTCTTTTTATTTAATTAAAGAATTAAGATTTGTCCACTTGTGGAACAAGAGCTTTCGTTTATAAATACCTCAAAGGAAGGTACCGTGTTTCATATTTACTTTATATTTTATAGCACCTTAATTTATTCAGAAATCTAAAAGTTACAGTATTAATAGAAAATTATAATAAAGGGCTGGGAAGGTGGCTCAGTGGTAGAGTGCTTGCCTTGCATGCATGAGGCCCTGGGTTCCATTCCTCAGCACCACATAAACCAAAAAGAAAAAAAAAGCTGGAAGTGGCACTGTGGCTCAAGTGGTAGAGCACTAGCCTTGAGCTGAAGAGCTGAGGGACAGCGCCCAGGCCCAGAGTTCAGGCCCCACGACCAGACCCAAAAAAAAAAAAAGAAAATTATAATAAACATATGATAAAATGTAACAAACCTGTCTAAAACAAAATTTTAGTGAATTAAAAGTTTTAATGCATTTAGAATAAAGTAAGTGGCAATAAAGATAAATGATAAGATTGGTCAGTGTCAGTCAACAGACTGTTACTGGTATAGGAGTTCATAGTCTATTTGCAAGGTTGCTTAGAATGTAGTGAAGTAAGGAGACTGGGTCTAAGAAAAAGGCCTTAATAATAAAGGACATTCTTTTGCTCAAAAATGTGTTTTGAGTTGGTAAGTTCCAGAAAAGTCTTACTCTCCTTAGTTCTTGGTTTCCCTTGATTGTGTCCACATTTGATTTGTTTTGGCTTATATTTCACATCTTTGTTGGATTTGAGCATTCACTGGTTTTTTATTTACTTTGATTGTGTTCATGTCTGATTTAATTTCTACTTTGTTTTTATGCACCTTGTGTGGTTTTGGACATGCAAGCTGTGTGTTAGTTGTATTCAGGGCAGTAGGGCTTTGAGACTGGAGTTCCCCTGCTGCCCACTACGGCTCCAATAAAGACTCCAAATTCAGCCTTTTACGTGGTGGCTTCTCTGATCTCACTACTGGACAGCAGTAGTAGGCTTAATGATACTGTTAACGTTTTAATCACTGGTTGAATCAATAGGCCTATTCCATTCAAATGAAATACACTTCAGATCACCATAGTAAAGCAAAAAACTTTTGATTTAAGTATGAACACAGCAGTGCAATGTTATTACCAATACTGAAAAACTACAGCTTAGGAGATGGCAAGTTATTCACATTGTGTTAACTTTAAAAGAACAATTTATTTTGACTGGAAAATAATTTTAACTGTTGTAACTAACTTCCTTAAACTATGAGTTTAAAATAAGTTAATTCTCAGTGATAGAGTACTTGCCTGGCACTTGAACAAGATCCTCATTTAATCCCTAGCACCACAAAATAAAAGGTAAATTTTCAATTTCAAGTTCAGATTCAAGAATATGCTATACAATAATTTATAGAAATAAGCATAACAAATCATTATTCTGGTCAAGAGGCCAAATGATTTTTCACTTACTA